TGAGTCCATGACCCAGTCATCGGACGAGCTGCTCACACTCAACAAGAGTGCATCCACCGTTTCCTCTATTGCGGCATTTGCTGTCCGGCCCTCCTTCTCCTTCTTTGGCGCCCGGCATTCACTTTTCATGTGCCCGGGCTTCTCACAGTTCCAGCACACCATCTCCTTCTTGCCTTTGTTTCTCCCCTTGGATTTTGACCTTCCACGGAATTTACCCCGTGTGTCGGGTCTCCCTCTAGACTCTGTATGTAGTGCAGATCCAGACGACCCTCCCGCCTGATTTCTGCGGGTCTCTTCGTTCAACATCATGTCCCTGATGTTGTCGAACTTCATCTTCTCCTTGCCAGACGAAGTGCTCACCGAAGTAACAACCACATCCCAGCTGTCGGGCAACGATGAGAGCAGGATTAAGGCCTTTACCTCATCATCAAACTCAATGTTCACAGACGCCAGCTGCGTCGTGAGTTGGTTGAAGTCGTTGAGATGATCGGCCACCGACTTCCTCTCCTCCATCTGCAACTTGAACAGCTTCTTCATCAGCATAACCTTGTTCATTGCTGAGGGTTTCTCGTACATATCGGCAAGTGTCTGCAGGACTTCCTTCGTGCTTTTCGCTCCCTTCACATGGTAGGCGACATTCCGAGAGAGCGATAGAATTATAGCGCTCATCGCCTTCCGATCGAGCACCTTCCATTCTTCATCACTCATCCTCTCGGGCTTCTCTGCAAGTGGTGCGTGCAGGTCCTTCCCATACAGGTAGGCCTCCATCTGCATGCGCCAGAATCCAAAGTCGGAACCATTGAATCGTTCGACTGGAATTTTGCCCTCCATCTTGATACTATAACCTGGCTCTGATACCAGTTGTTATGAAATGGATCAAGTCAAGATGGCCAACAACAACACAATAACGAATGTGAAAGCGATAAAGCGATAAAAGACACGAATTTGTTAACCCAGTTCGGATAAAAATCCTATGTCTGGGGGCGATACCAAGCCAGGGATTCCTACTTAGATGTGAATCTTGGACATGATATATTTGAATATCATGTTGATATTAGATTTTAGTTATACAATTTACAAGTACTTTCTATTGTTCAAATGTTGAAAGTATGAATTGATTTCAACACGGGTTGTTCAAATGTTGAAAGTATGAATTGATTTCAACACGGGACGTGCACATAGTGTAGAATTGTTTCTCTAGCAATCCTCTATTATAAAACTTATTATATATCATCCGTGTTTATGACACATTCAAAATCGTCATTAAAAAGTCATTTCTGACCTGCATAATTAGTCATTCTTGCAACAGTAGTGGCTTATATATTTCTTGCTAATCTACTATTAACCTTTTAGGTTGAATGTTTTTGCAGCAACTCATTATTAACAAAATGCCAATTGTAGTAAATGAAGGAATCGGGCCCTATTAAGTGCTATATGGGAGAAAACCATCACATGGTCGTCTACAAGTTTTTGGATGTCTTTGTTAGAACTAAAAATGTATTAAGTGCCAAACTCTATTTTAATGATAACAACTAAAAATTTATGGAAAGTTTTTGTAAACGTGTTTTTCTAAAATTCTTATCCGTTAACAAAAGTCGGTTCTTAAATTAATATCAATTTTCTTATATCACTTGGTAAGATACAACAATATGTTTATGCTTTTCAAATGAGGCGTCCAACACGCCATGTAACACATCGACCAACGTCAAATGAAGGTGTATTAATTTATTTATACTCGTTCAATATCTTTGCTCCAAATCATTCAAAGTTGTTCTCAAAATACAATAAGCAAGACTATAATAAATCTAATATAAGTAATTGGTATGTATATTAAGTTTACTAAATCTACTAGTGAGAAATATTAGCCATTCCTATAGTATAAAGAAAAAAAGTGATACAATAAGTCACTTTTGATTTCTATAATTCCATGAATGTGTAACTTCAATCTCTCATAATTATTGAAAATTTGATTCTTTAGTTTTCAAACTTGAGAATTGTTAGTCCACCCATTAACATGTCATCTAAATTTAAAAAAAATGATGATGTGCCAATGAATAATATTGTTAGATAGTTGGACACATAAGAAAATAATAGTATTAAATTTATTTAATAAATTATAAATTTTGATTGAAATAAAAGAGAAATGTAATAATAATAATAATAATAATAATAATAATAATAATAATAATAATGTTATTTTTTACATGGAAGCCAACATGTCTAAGTAATTGCTATGAATTATTTATGACATTAACTTTTCTATTTAATTTTAGATGACAAGTTAATGAGTTAATTAACATTGCTTAACTTTGAAAAGTAGATAGACTAAATTTGCAATCAAAGAACCTATACTAGATTAATGATAATAAAATAATCAAAGACATAATAAACAGATAAGAAATGGAGACTCATTCGATGCCAACATTAACAAAACCCCCTCAACATCTTCGACAGACAAAGTGATCAAAGGAATATTTGGCTCAAAATATCATTGTAAATGTGGACTAAGAAGTATATTATCTAATTGTTAATCTTGGAATACTTATTCATCCAAAATTCATCACAGTCAGCATTAAATAGTAACATATATCAAAATAAAAATATTATTATTTATTAATTACTTGCATTTATTACTTTGAATGAGAATATACTACTTAAACCTTAGAGCACCTTTTCACTCCCTAAGTATTCTTAAAGACATATAAAACTAATAGATTGGAGATATCAGACGACCTTAAAAGAAGATTATATAAGTACCGCAAGTACAGAACCAAAATTTCACATTCATAAAATCATGAATATCAAAGGTGAATTTATCCCATAATAAAAGAAAATGTGTAGACAATTCACTTGTGTAGTAGCTTCTGACATCTAATATATAAAATAAAATGTCAGGATTTGTTATTATCTTATTAGACAACGTACTTTTTTTTTTTTTTTAAACTTTGATTTAAATATGAAAGTAATAGAGGATAAAAACAACAAACTTTACGAAATGCTAATTAAAGTTATGTGTTTTTTTTTTTTTAAAGTTGACATTATTTGTTCTTTCACTAAAGTTCAGCTAGAATCAAACGCAGGGGACAATAAGATGAGAGAAAAAGATATGCCTTATTGACTGGACAAGAAAAAAACTAATTTCCCTATGAAAGGTGATAATGACTTGGAGTCCTTTTCCAAACTTGAATGCTTTCAAAATGGGACAAACCGAACTGAAGAAAATATAACTTGAGGTACATTTTATTTTTGGTCTTAAAAGATAATTTCATATTGTTTGATAAAAATATGCTTTTGAGTTTTGAATATAAATTTATTGTTAAGATGCAGTCAAAATTCCAGACTATTAAAATAAGAAGATAAACATTAGTTTATACACATGCATAGTATATATATTAAAAATAATTAAGTCCAACACTCATTTGAGAAGAAAAACATAGAGAAAAATCTCTCATTTGACATTATTTAACTTTAATAACAATACGCTTTACAACATTTTTTTTAGTACAAACTAGAAGTGATAATTTTTTTTTTTAATTTTTAATAGATAAATTCTTAAAAATATTATTCTAAATTTATATCCAAGCATATTCTTCTTTTAACACATTCTCCTGAACTCATTATTTTTTATAAATTCGAAATTTTTTAAAAATCATATATTTTTGTGAGCCGCATATCTTATTTAATATTTTTTTTATAATGATTTATAATAAATAATGGAGAAAATTACTCTTTTGATATCTCATTTTATTTAATTAGTTAAATTTGATCCTTCTATTATAAATACTCAATTTGGTTTGGTTCCTTAAATTCTAAAAATTAATATATATTTTTATTCAATCGAGACTAAGCATGTTAAATACATGTGCCAATATGTATCTTTTCTTATTATTTCACATAAAAAAAAATTAACATTATTAATCTCAATCAGTTGAAGAACCTCATTAAATTATTTTAAGATTATAAGAAACTAAATTAAACAAGCTAATTAATTAAACACAAAATTTTAACAAATGAAAGAGAAGGTGTGAAAATGTATGGTGTGCAATTGAGCATAGAAGGCCTTTGTTTTGTCCCTTTATGAGAGGGTAATTGGTGGCTCACATTTGGCATGGGAAAGCAAAGATTGCCAACTAGGCATGTATCAAATGCATGAGAACCATTCATTTTTAGGAAAAGCAAAATGCAGATTTGGTCGCAACACAAGGAAAGAGAAAAGGATGTTATCTTGTAGTTGTAGTAGTATTGGCATCTCCATTATTGCTCTCATCTGCCACCTTTTGTTGAATAATGAATGCGTGTTCCTGATTTTTTCATATTCTCTTAATTAATGGTCCAACCCTGTATAAAATTGTCGTCACACCACCCACTAGTTCAAGAACAAAATTTAAATACTAGTAATATAGCTGTACTGCAATACTAGCTTTTTCACTCACACACGACATGCTTACTTTTACCCTAGTTTTCTTTCGGGGTGAAAATATCTCGGTAACACGAATGACAATGAGGCTAGGGGTTCCAGATTTTAATATTTCTCTTTCTATGTCAGAGTAATTTGTATTTTATACTCATCTTCCTTTTAATATATTCATGACTATAAAATTTGTCTCGCATCTTTATTTTTATTAAATATTATATATATTTATATTTGTTTAGGAATAAATTAATTATTTCCATATAAAAAATGTAGAAAATAAAAATTTTAATATAGAGTAGTATTTATAAAATTATAGTAATTAAATTTTATCTGATATGAATTTAAAATAAAATAAGAATTACATAGATTTTAAGTAATTTAAAAAAAAAATAGGTTTCTAGAAATTTAAAGCTATGAAAAATACAAAAATGAGTATGAAACGAGTAAATATATGCTTCTCTTCATTCTTTTACTTGATTTAATAAATCAATATTTAACATTATAAGTTTTAATTACTAGTTTTTAATAATAATTAATAATCTATATAGTGTTTGAAGTGTGTTGTGAGGCTCAGAGAGTTGAAGGATTCCCAAGAGTCTGATTAGTTTTGAGGGTGACTAGAGGCTCAGTTGGCCTTGAGGGAAAGAAGTATATAAAGTTTTTGTTTGAGAGTTGAGCCTCACAAGTTCATGTTCTCCAGATTTTAGAGAGATAAACTAGAGAGGTGATTTAGGTGTGTGAGTTTCCTTCTTCTCTAAACTTTCTCTCAATTGGACAATTCTTTCCTCAGAATCATTGATGTGCTTGTATGCTTTGATTTAGATCTTTGGTGAGCTGAAATTAGAGTTTGGTTTGTAGAGACTATCTACCTGATATGAGGTTGGGCGTGGATTTTGTCATGCCACGTGGGAGGTCCTAGGGATTCCCTACCCCAATCACGCCAAGCGCAGGTTGAAAAGTGTCAAGCGTGGACGATACAGAGAACTTTCTGTCTTAGTGGCACTGACACGAGATAAGTTGCATCGGGCCCAGGTTTTGTTGAAGATAAATGTTGAGTTTATATAAGTTGATTTGTGGTGATATATGTAGATGTTGTATAGGGTATTAAGATGATGAGCATTGGTATATTATTTCTTATATGATTGAAATGATGATAAGCATTGACATGCTACCTTTTTGTATGGTTGAACTATGAGTTGAGCATTGGTATGTTGTAATTATAAGTTTGAAATTAGTGATGAGCATTGATATGTTATGTGATATTTATATGTTATAATTGCATGATTAGCGTGTGAATAAGCATCGATATATTATTATTGAATAAGTTGTTGAGCATTAGTATGCTACTCTTGGATGAGGTGTATAACATTGGTATGTTAATTTTGATTGGTGTAATTTGATCTCTATATGCATTGACTTGAGACAATGTATATAGATGATCTATGCTGAGATGTTGATGCTGAGAATGTTATATACATTAAAATATGTTGATTAACTTAGGGTTAGAGGAGAACATGTTATTTGAAAGTTGAAGATCCTATATAAGGAATCTTGTTTTGGTGATTTGGGAGACCGATTGTTGAAAACCCTCATTGAGTAGATGTGAAACTCTTGGAGTGAATTTTGTTGAGCCTCTTTTAGATCTTTAGTTAATGTGAAGTAAAATATGAAGTTGAGAGTTACAACCCTTAATTGGTCACTGAAAAGGTTGCGTGGTTCCTTGCGGATATTTAGTGGACTAATTGCATATGTGATGATCATGATTTTCATAAGAATAGAACAAAATTAATTGGAGGGGACTTTTAAAACTACTATGAAACCATATATGTTGACTATTTAATTAACAACTAAATTATGTTTGACCATCACCTAAAATTTTATACTATTTTTTATATTAGATAACTATACATTTATTACGAATATTTATAAAATTATTTTTAATTCACTTATATTCATATACATATTATAACGTGTATATCAAATTATTTCGAATACAAATCCTTTACATAAAGTAATTTTGCTACTTACAAATATTACTCATACCATATTTATATCCGATGAAACCAAATATTATCAATTAAAATAGAGTGAGTTGGAACATTATTCAGTATATCTATGCTCAATCCAATAGCATAACATTTCTTATCCTGTAAAACTACTTTAGTAGCGTAACAGAGTACAGAGAGATCCTCTGTTGCACTCACGTGTTGTATTGTGAATCACACACTTCACTACAACATTTTTTATATTAGGCAACGAGTTTTTAATATACATAACCTCATAGAAAAACAGATGGACGTATGGAACTAAGGCGAAGAAGAAACCAACGCGAAGAAGAAACCTCCGAAGAAGAAAAACAGAAGAAGAAACTTGAGGAGGCTTCAGAGGGATGAGGTGCAGAAGAAGAAACAACGCGCGGGAGAAAGAAATTTTTGAAACCTAGCCATGCGCGCACACCTTCTTTTAAGCAGGCTGTGGCTTATTTACGTCAGTCCCTTTAAGGTCCGACGTAAATTTTAACATCTACGTCGGACACTATGTATAGCCGACGTAGATGTTAAAATTTACGTCAGTCCCTTAAAGGTCCGACGTAAAAAAGTCATAAAAATTACGAAACGTGCCACCGCGTTTTTATTACGTCGGGTGTTTGTATTTCCGACGTAAAATGGGTGACGTAATATCCTAATTTTCCACTAGTGTCCATTGATAATGTCTTATATGTTAAAGGGTTAACACATAACCTGTTGAGCATAAGCCAATTATGTGATAGTGGTTATGAAGTATCCTTCAACAAAAAAAAATTTACTGTTAGTCAAAATGATTCATCTATACTATTTGTGGCTAACAGATGCAATAACCTATATAAAATAGTGCTTAACGAGCTAGAAGATCAAAACGTTGATTGTCTAGTCTCATATGAAAACCAGTGGCTCTGGCACAAGAAGCTTGGTCATGCAAGCCAGAGATTAATCTCAAAGCTGAAAAAGCATAACCTCGTAAGAGGTCTATGTTAGAAAAGAATGGCTCAATCCAAGAGGGGGGGTGAATAGGATTCTATGAAACTTTAAAAATTTTCAGAGTTCTTAGGATTTTTATTTCAATTTAAACTTTTCTAATATGAATTTTCAAAGAAGTTTCTTAAAAGACTTGTTAATGAAAATGAGTCTTATATGCTTTCTTGATTAATCTTTAATAAACTTCAAAGTTAAGAGCAATCAATATGCAACACTTTGATTCAGTTTAAAGCTATGTTGTGCATACAAACATGTTAATCAAGAATAATCTCTTTAACACACAACCAAGATATTACTCAAAGTAAAAGATAAGGGTAAGAGAAGATTGCACAAGTCTTTTATCCTAGTTCAGCCACTCCACATGTGACCTACATCCAGTCCTCAATCATAACCTAATCAAGATTTGTTCCACTATCTTAATGAAGAAGTTTTACAAGCATACCACACATGCATACACTCCTACATTCAAGATAATCACTTTCTTAACCCCAAGAAAGCACCCCTTGTAGAAACCTACTACAAGAATCCTTACCACTTGAGAAACCTTCTCAAGATTTTACAATTATTCACAAAGAATTAAGGAACAAATTCACCTGGAATTCAGAAGCAAAACTTAATCTTCCCCTTTCAAGAATGTGATGATGATGATCTAAAGTTTTTCACAAACATTTTTCTTCTTGGATTCACAAAGAAAACTCTCCAAGATTGTCACAAAGACTTCACAAAAACGCTTTTTCAAAATTGATTCTCAGTTCTAACTCTGTTCTGAAGTTTTAAAAGGTTCAAACTATTTATAACAGTTTCAGAACCAGATAATCGATTATTTTAAAGAATAATCGATTATTTTGTTCTTCAGGTTTCCTAGAAACCAACCAAGAACAATATAATCAATTATTTTGCTGGATAATCGATTATTCCAGAGAGTCATTTCTGGGATAATCGATTATTTCACAAATAATCGATTATTGCAGCAAGGCATCCCATTTTGCCTGTTGCTGGAATAATCGATTATATTTAATGATAATCGGTTATTTTGAGTTAGTTTTCAAAACTTCATTTTAAGTCTCAAAATAACTTTTTAGTCCCTTTAACTCATCATCATACTCTCTCTAATTAGTTTAGATATAGATTTAGCTTATGCACATAGCACACACAACAAATAAAATCATTCAAAACAATTTGTACACTAATTCCTATTACATAACACTTTTCTTTGACTTTGTTTTTGCCTTCTAAGTTGTTGTTGTCCTTGACACACATTTGTGATCATCAAAACTCTTTTAAGCTTCAGAGATGATCTTAATCTCATCAAGTTCAGGCTCCCCTAAGCTCAATAATCTCCCCCCTTTTTGATGATGAAAAACCATGACACAAATCATGACAAATCAAGCTAGGCTTCAACACTTTTGCTTCAACTACTTCAACACTTTTGCTTCAACTATTGTGCTTTTCTTTCAATACTTGCAAAACACAAACTTGCAAAGCACAACACCTGCAAAACCAAAGCCAAAACCAAAGCCATACACACATAACAACCTTTCTCCCCCTTTGGCATTATCAAAAACAAATCAAGCCACAATTGTTCACCATACACAAAACCAAGCTATATGCATACTCCTTAAGTGCCAAAACAAATCAAACACATTATAGGTATTTGATCCAAACTTTGTGAACAATAATATCACAGTCAGAATTATTTGATCAGCAGCAAGTATTTGGTCAATCAAAAATTACAATGTGCAGTGCATTATGACAATTCATAGTCCACAATTTTCATCAATTATGCCAATCAAATATCAAAAGTCACATATCAATGTTCCAAAAACAGAACATCAACCAATATGCTAAAAAACCAGAGCATCAATGCACCAGCCAACCAACTCAGAAATTGGTACATCATTCAAACCATCATATCAGCAAAATAAACTTCAAATTTCACCAGAATTCAATTGTTCAACAGATTAAAGCAAGTAAATTGTTCCAGAATTAAAATATTACAACCAAATTGAACTTTAAAATCCAAAAATAGAATTTAGAAATCCTAATTAAAACTAGTCAACAAAACAAAGCAGAAATCATTCTTCATCTTCAAGTATGCCTAGGTGAGTCTTGAGCAGTTTCACCTCATGATCAAGATCATCAAACCTATCAAGAATACCAGAAAATAAAGACTCATGCCTTCCAGACATTTCCATCACCGCATCAAGTTTATTTAGCATAATTTGCTTAAAAGGCGAGAATGGTTTCGGCTCCGCTTCTAGCTCTCTGTCAGGTTCAGCTTCCACCTGTGGTGGATGATCCTCATCATGTGACGGAACGCCGTCTTCATCCGTCGCCGGCTCAGGGGTTGGGGGTACATCTCCCTTGAACACCCATTTATCTTCCTGTTTGAGCATCCCCATGTGATGCAAGGAAGATTTCTCAATCTTGTTCGAAGCATGGAGAACTATTTTCCTTTCCCCTGTTAAGTCCACCCCTACATTCTCAAAAAAATTTGACAGCAACAGAGCATACGGAATTGGTCCATCCTCTTTCCATCTTGCTTTCCACATACAATCATTAACGAATGATACCCAATCAATCTTAATTTTCTTTTTAATCACATGCATAAGTAAAATGTCATCTCTTGACATTTGGGCATGGTTATGTAAATGAGGTTTCAACATCCAAGCAATGATAAAAGAAATTAAACGGGAATTTTTCTTCATACCTCCCGCCAGAAATTTTTCATAGTTGGTATTCACCGGATTCCTCTAACAGTCCCGGAAGGTCGTCAGCCCCTCAAAATCACCGAAATTGAAGGGTTGGGGTTTTTCACGTCCCGAGCCGCTCAGTCCCGCAGTCGCCTTCAATGTTGGCCCGTCCAGCTTAATCATTTTCCCTTTTACCACAGATTGCATAATGCCTTCATTGCTTGTGGCAAAACAGAGAAACAACCTTATTAGTTCAGGGTAATAGGGTCCTTCCATTTCCAAAAAATTCCCAAGTTCTTGGTCCTCCAGCAGGGTTGGGAAACTAATTTTTTT